TAACTGCGATGGTGAGCTTATACAATTTTTGGATTAAGATTGTAATCCTTATGTTTCATGGCCTGGGTTTAGGATGAATTTTATAAGAACGCGCCTGTTCTTCCCATAGAATAGACACACTTGTGGGATGGAAGCGATGGTGTCTGACTTTATTGTGCTGGATCGGGAATATTTCTTGTTGATTGTTATTTTTTTCGCGTGTGGCTGATGCCATTGGGACCCATCAATGCGTATTTATAGAGAACAGTGTGGATCTTGTTGCATTGAAATAATTAATGAGAACTTATTTAGACAATTGTGATCCCACAACCGTATACAATTCGCTCTCTATTTCGAGGAATTCGCTACTTCTTTTCGAAGTATCAGAAAAGTATGTCACTTCTTTGGTTCGTATTCTGTTCCCCAAAAACGCTTAGGTATATGCCGAACTTTGGTGCGATTTTGGCGATTAGCGCATGCAATTCTGGCAAATTATGTGGGTCGTCTCGTGCATCAGACACATTAGGAAACCCACATACGCACAAAGACACACCCATACCCACGGCTTCCCCACTTTCTTCACGATTTGGAGCGCGGCCGAGTTGGTAGTGCCCGCGAACTGTGCGGGTAGGTTTGAAAACACTCCATCAGCACAGTTCGCGGGCACTATCAACTCGGCCGCGCCCGAAATCGTGAAGAATGTGGAGGAGCTCATACCCACACCAAACCTATGTACATTCAAGGACACATGTCATTTAGATCGTGGCACTCTGTTGCCGAAGTGATCGGCGATGACCATGATCCGCGTCTTTCTATTAATGGTTGGTTTCACACTAATCGCCCGATTGAGCCACGTATACGACCACCGTTGATTCGTCCTCGCTCGATACCTCATGAAGTCTGTTTCTTTTTTTTCCAAATATTGTCATCTCTATATAGAAGGGAAAGGTTGTGAAGTTATCTAACCGTTTCCGTCCTTTTTTAGAAGGCGGATCTGTCGATCGTTTTCAAAGATGGAATTCTTTGTGATAGCCTTAAGGAGGGCATTAAGAAAGCATTCAGCGAGGATGGCCAACTTCTTCTCAAATTTGCATTCCAAGTGAATATTTATTTCTTCGCTTAAGCTTTTAATCGGAAGTAGTGTTCAGATAAATCACTTACATTGATATGATGGTAGGTCGCACTTGCGTTCCACTTTTCTAGTTGAAAAATCTCTTTTGAACTGTTATAGGACTCATTCCGGAACGCAATTCTGGAAGAGCTTAGCTCTGCGAGTTGGATCGAGAAAGGTCCCGTGAACAAAAGGTTGGCAATATTTTTTTGCAAGTTTTTTTTTTCAATCCTGGTTTCATTCATTCCTGGCTCCGTGGCTTCTCTCACACTTGAAGCAACAACCCCAGATCGAATTGGTGGGGTAACGGCGGTCGTTAATGGAATTGTGAAAGCCGAACTGATGAAAATGAAAAAACCAAAGCAAACTGACAATGAGTCCATTAACACGTATCCTCTCTTTTCGTCCTTGAAGGGAGGAAGGGATTGGGCCGGGCGAATTGTGAGTACTCGCATGCTTCATGGCTTCACCATCCCGCGGGTTTTTGATGTTTTCGCTATGTCATCATCCATGCTGCAGAGCACGGGTGTGTGCGAGGCTCATCGTCTGTAAGTTCACTTTGTTGCCACTAGATCAATTTGTGCGGCCCTGGCACCATTGTCACGTACTGTCAAGCCGCCAGAACGGCACATCTGAGATACTCGTGGGCTTTTCTATCCCATCCATTGAAAAGGTTCCTCGCTTCGACCTCATCTGCTGGTATTTTTAAAGCACAACCCTGCACCTCAAGTACTGGTGTGGCACTGCCAAGAGATTTGGGGAGAAGAGGGTACGGCTTTCTGTTGCCAAGCCTCGGGCCGTATGCTATCCTTCCTTCAGGATAGGGGCACAATCGAGTCCTTTTTATTTATTTGCTTTTAACGGCACCGTTTCCTTACCGCACTTGTTCGTTTTCACACACCTAATACACTGCAAATATACAGTTCCTCAGGGCGATTTTTGAAGGAATGACAAAGAAAATTCAAAGGGATGTTTCCTCACCCTAGGGGAAGGATAGGGTACAGCCCCCGCTCTCGTCCCCGCCTGCTGCGGCGCGGCCACACTTTTAGGTGCCCAAAATTGTTGGAGCCATTAATCTATTGAGTTTTTATTCTTATTTCAGTTTTCTGAAAATTCTTGTAAAATTTGGAATGAGTAAATTCCAGGTGGATGGCAGAGTACAATATTGAAGAGAATGACTCTCACGAGTCGGTGGCTAAGTTTGTGAAAGTACTTCGCTCACAGACGATGATGGATTTCGTCAAAGATCTGACAGGAATGGAGTATAAAGGTTAGGAGTTTTCATACCACACGTAAGCCATTCAGCTTCATGCAGTTTCCAGATCCTCAAACTACACTTTGGGCTTACCGCCTCACACCAGGCTGTTACACGGTGATTGGCGATGAAGATGCTGAGCAGTTCGCTAAAGACGGAGTGTCAACTGATTTCTGGGTAAGTTTCTTGGATCGCAGAATTTTGGAACGTCAGAAACCATAGATCGTAGCTTGGACGCGACATCCTGATATTGATTCTGCGTGTCACACTTTTCTGGTTGGCTCTTTGTGATCACTGGTTGCAACAAAGGGGACCGTACGTAATGGTATGCATCGTTGGGAAGGAGGCAGATAGACGTGACGTCACTGATTGATCGTACAGTACCTGCTTAACGCGTTCGTTCATTAATGCTTGACTGGGAGTGTAGTCCATCCTTGCCTGTCTTCTGCGCAATTATAGATCTAGGCAATGTCATTAATGGTCGTGATCAATGTGGTGTTGACTGTTTGGTTGTTTTCAGTTTTATTTTGGAAAGTCACAGTGGGAAGAAGAAGCTGGTGGAGTGGTTGTATACATCAAGAAAGATCAAGAGGAACCGGTGAGAAGATTATCTGTTTGTTGAGGGAAGTTGTGCTTCTTCACATGAGCTTTTGTTCTTTCGCTGTTCTTACAAGAAGCTTTTTCAAAACGGTCTTTTGCATGATATAGAGGGCACATGCGGGAACCACAGAACCATGGTTAATTTTTCCTGAACGGCCCTCTGAATACCAGAAAAGGGGGTCCCTAGTCACACCTTTTTTCACCAGTTTTTCAATCAAAGTCTATTTGTAAGGGTTACTGACGTTCCTAATCATGAATTGGTACTAATTATTCATGCTAACTCCATTTTGCGCGAATTTGGAAACGTCAACTCGAAATGCAAAAATTTGTCACCACGAGGAATCGAACTAGGGAT